CCCCTTTCAAGTATCTGAAGGGGCTATAAGGAAGCCAGAGAGAGACTCTTTGTCAGGAACTGTAGTGACAGGACAAGGAATAATGGATACAAATTGAAAAAGGGGGAATTTAGGTTAGGTATTGGGAAGAGATTCTTCCCTGTGAGGGTGGTGAGGCCCTGGCACAGGTTGCCCAGAGAAGCTGTGGCTGCCCCATCCCTGGGAGTGTCCAAGGCCAGGCTGGACAGGGCTTGGAGTAACCTGGGAGAGTGAGAGGTGTCTCTGCCCATGGCAGGGGGTGGGACTGGATGACCTTCAAGGTCTCTTCCAACCTCGTAATAGTCTATGATTCTATGAGTCTATGTCCCCTCACGGGCTTTGCTCTCCCCTCACAGCCCCCCCCACCCTCAGAACCCAGCCCCGCCCTTCTCCCCTCAGGAGCCAGGGGGTGCCCACCTTGGCCGTCTTGATGATCTCGGTGAAGTTGTCCATGATGGACTTGACATCGTCCTTGAGGCGCTTGTTGTAGGACTGCAGCAGGGTCTCCTTGCTCTGGGGCAGCACCCGGGGCTGCGCCATGGCCGCACCTCCCTCACGGCCCCGCCCCGCCCGCCTCTCGCGAGACCTCCCGCGGCGCCCCCCGATATCTCCCGGCATGCCCCGCGCCGCGCCTCTCTCCCTCCGCCCAACATGGTGAGTGATGGCGGCGGCCGGGGGGGGCCGGGGCCATCCGCCTCCATCCGCTCCCATCCGCCGCCCTCGAGGGGCCGCGGTACCGCGGACAGCGCCGCGCGGGCCTGGGCAGCCCTGGGAGGCGGTGAAGGGGCGTTCCGTGCCCGATTCGCGGTGGCCGCGGAAGGCCGGGTGTGGGCCTGTCCCGCCTCCGGCAGCGCGGCCGGGCCGCGGCGGGTCCCCGGTTTGGGCCGGGTCCCGGGGGTCGGACCGTCACCACTGTGGGGGTGTCTCGGCTGCTGTCGGGGAGCACCGGGCCGAGCGAGGCCATTGACACGCGCGTTTGGTCGTTGTCGCGCTCCGGGAGGTTTGTAAACCTTGTAAAGGCAAAACGGAAGATTTGCACTCTCTGGAAGAGCAGGGAGCTCTTCTGGCTCTTCTCCCTGCTCTGGGAGGTGGCGTTTATTTTCCGGCTGGGAAAATAAACGCGTTTCCAGGGCGGGAGGGTAGCTCTTTGATGCATGCAAGTGTTGGAGGCAGTAGAAGGCAGTGTGTGTTTCTTGCTTGCAGCCGAAAGGAAAGAAGGCCAAGGGCAAGAAGGTGGCCCCGGCCCCTGCTGTAGTCAAGAAGCAGGAGGCCAAGAAAGTCGTCAATCCCCTCTTTGAGAAGAGGCCCAAGAACTTTGGCATTGGTGAGTATTTGGGATGTTTGGTCCACTTTTTTTATGGACAGATGTCTAAATTATAAACAAATTAATGCTGTAGAGTCGAGAGGGTGATGGAGGCAGTTACCTTGCTGCTTGGAGTTAGCTGCTCTTCTCAATGTGAAGGTGGTGCTGGACAATTTGCCAGACTTCCCTTTGCTTGTCCTAATGGATACATTATATGCTCCTTTTGGGGGTGAATGTTGCCCTTTTGCCTGTGTTTGTGGCAAATAATTCAGCCCTGTGCAGTGCCACTTTTGTACGGGGTGCAGATGATGTGAAAGAATATTTGCTATCTGAGTGGCTGTGCTGACACATCACCACCAAGATCACTGATGCCCCTGTGCTGCTCCCTGCTGCTGCTGCTGCTGTGGGTTTGGGGCAGCTCTGAGCTGAGGGCTGTGTTTTTTAGGACAGGACATCCAGCCAAAGCGGGACCTCACTCGGTTTGTGAAATGGCCGCGGTACATCCGGCTGCAGCGCCAGAGATCCATCCTCTACAAACGCCTCAAGGTGCCTCCTGCCATTAACCAGTTCACCCAGGCCCTGGACCGCCAGACAGGTAGGGATGTGCCCCACATCCTTGGGTTTAAATGGGATGTGCCTCAGGGAAGGGGGGAGAAACTGAAATCTGGAGCATGTCTGTTTAGGGAGGCTCTAATAGTGATGCAGAGTTGATGTGTGAATTTGCTGCCTTAAGCCTTGATTGCTGCTGTGTACCCTGAAAAGGGTGTTAGAAGACAACAAAGCTGCTACTTAGTGACCCAAACCCAGCGTTATCTTAACTGTGTTTCCGTCAGAGTCCATTCTAACAGCTTCATGTGGAATCTCCAGGGTTCTTCTAATTGTATAAACACACTGAGAAACCTGTAGGAGGAAAACCAGCATCCTGCAGGCTGGCATTGAAATGAAGAAGGGACTTTAGGGTCATCTTTAAATGAGTAAAAAAGTCTTTTCCAGGTGACAGTGTCTATGCAAGAAAACTTGGACCTGTGTAAAGTAATTCCCTTCTTGTAGATGTTGCCAAACAAGTTCCTTGCTTTAAAGCATCACCCCTGACCATCATAACTGCTGTGGGGCTCCACAGGCATTTCCTCATCCAGACAGTGAAGGAGCTCTCACAGCCATCAGAGGTGCACTTAGAGGTAAATAGGGGCTCTGAAGGTGCTCTTCTCTTGGACTGTGCAAATGATGATCACTTTTTGCTGCCTAAACACACGTGATGACAAACCACCAAGATCGCTGATGCACTTCAGTGTTTTAAAAAGTGATGCTTAGATTCTCAGGTTGTGCAGCTAATGAGTAGATGTTCTCTTGCAGCCACACAGCTCCTGAAGCTGGCACACAAATACAGGCCAGAAAATAAGCAAGAGAAGAAGCAGAGGCTCCTGGCACGTGCTGAGCAGAAGGCTGCAGGAAAGGGAGATGCTCCAACTAAGAGGCCACCCGTCCTCCGAGCAGGTGACTGTGTGCCTGGACTTGGCTGATGGCCAACAAGGAGTGTGGTGCTTGGTTAGAGAGAAAACTGATAAACAGCCTTGGACAAGCTATTGCAATGATGTATGAATTTCTTCACCTGAGCTCAAAGTGAAGAGCAAAAAAGACGAGCTTTTTAACCCTGAGCTTTAGCAAATTGTCCGTGAAATGTCTTTGTGCTGCTGATGTGGAAAGTTTTTATGACTTCCATAATGAGGCTGTGTTATGGAACCTGAGCTGGTTGTGTGAGGCTTTTATGAAAGCTCTGAAAATAGACTGAGCAGAATCAAAGCTTATCTGTAACTTGTTTTTCAGGTATTAACAGTGTCACAACTCTGGTGGAGAACAAGAAAGCTCAGCTTGTAGTTATTGCCCACGATGTAGACCCCATTGAGGTGAGCATGGTACAGCCTACCTGTGGAGCTTAAGGTGGGGTCAGGAGTGGTCTTGAGGTGAAAATGCATTTTAGGACAAATACTGCATGAAAGAGAATGCATAAAAATACAGATTTACCATAACTGGGATGTTTATGCATATTTGTAGTTGGTGTGACAGTGAGGCTGGGCCCTTGCAATGATGTTTTGAATTTCTTCACCTGAACCAGCAGTGAAGAGCAAAACGAGCTTTTTAACACTGAGCAGTTGGCCACAGCCCAGGCTGATGCCAGGGGTGAAAAGATGTTCTCCCTCAGTTACACAGCACAATTCCCTTTCCTTTTCAGCTGGTGGTGTTCCTGCCAGCCCTGTGCCGCAAGATGGGAGTGCCCTACTGCATCATCAAGGGCAAAGCCAGGCTGGGCCGACTGGTCCACAGGAAGACTTGTACCTCAGTTGCCTTCACCCAGGTTAACCCGTAAGTAGTAGCAAACTTGGGTCTCTCTAAAATGAAATAACACCTTTTTAATGTCTAATAAAAATGTGTCAGCTGGATCCCGAAGCTACAGGTTATTTTGGGTTACCAAAATGGATCATTACTCTAAAATATGTGTGTGGAACTGTTAGCCTTAATCTGAGCAGTGGAGATTCTAAAGTATTGATGGGTTGGAGTGTTAACCCTTTGCAAGTGATGCTTATGATTAACCTGAAAAACTGGGTTTGCCACTAGAAGTTCTCAAATCCTGTGGCTAAATATTTATGGAAAATGTTAAATCAAAGCTCTAAAAAAATTAAAACTGTCACCAACAGGGAGGATAAGGGAGCCCTTGCCAAGCTGGTGGAGGCTGTCAAGACCAACTACAATGACAGATATGATGAGGTAAGATTCTCTGTGCTGCTGTCCTTGTCTTTGATTTTATTCTGTTAAAATTCCCAAAAGTTTCCCAGAGATACTCAGATTTTTTCAGACATAGTGACACCAGCTTATAAAGTCTGTTGGGTGTGTTACACCTAGAGTTGCTTATGGTGTACTCAGATTCTTTACCCAAGGATGGGGTAAAATATGAATGCTGTCACCAAGTGAGAAGTAAATAGTGCTGTCCCAGGACAAGGATTGTAGAAAAGGCAACGGGTTCTGCTTGGCTGAACTCCATCCCCCAAGTCCAGGAGTTACTTGATGGCTGAACCCAACACCCTTCATGGGGAAAAATCTTAAGCTCTTCTTTCTCTTTGCTGTCCTGAAATACAGTTCAGTTGCTTGAAATGTGTAGGGCTTTGTAGTTGAGGGAGCTCTTCCCCTTGTGCAGAAGGGAGTGGAATTGTGTGAGTTTGATTGCATGAGGCCTCTAACCTGTCCTCCCTTCTTTGCAGATCCGCCGTCACTGGGGCGGGAATGTCCTGGGTCCAAAATCGGTGGCTCGCATTGCTAAGCTGGAAAAAGCAAAGGCTAAAGAGCTGGCTACTAAGCTGGGCTGAAGATGTACTGGATTGCTTTGTACATAAAGACAATAAACCCCAGCTAAGTTTCAGTGGTCTCTGTTAATGGGGGCAAGGGGTGGCACTACTGGACTTCAGTTTGCCTTCCATGAAATGACAGAACAGTGCTGTGCAGAAGTGGCTGCACAGAGCAGGTTAGTATTTCACTTGGAACAACTGCCCGTGATTACTAGTCCTGTGTAATAATTCCTCTCCCTTGAACACACAGCCCAGCAACAGCAGCTCAGCTGCACCTCCTGGATCCACAGTAACCTGTAATTCAGGTCTGTCACTGTTCAATGTAAGATGCACGATGCAAGTCACAAAGCAGAGACCTGTAGGCCTTTATTTACTCTGGTGCAACGACTTTGAGCCACTCTTGACCTCAGGAATGGCTGCTCAATGCAAAGAAACTTTGATTCACAAAATCCTTTGGATTTGTCTTTTGGAAAACGCAGCACTGCAGATGCTAAAATGTTGTAGCTTACAATCAACCACAACAGAAAAATGTGTCCTTGATTACTGTTTTTAAGTTCAGTGCTTCCAAGCTGCAGCCAAGTCACGCTGGTGGGAGCTCAGAGTCTGCAGGAGTTGCTTAAAAGTTGATTTGCAGCTTGACAGAGGCACATGTTTGTGGAACACTGCCCTTAAATCCTGGGTGTTTCAGCTGTTCAGGACTGAGCAGGCTCCTGTCTTCCATAAAAGTCTGCTCCTGACTGTAGTACAAATAGGTTACATGTTCCCCTCACCGAGGTATCTTCTGTATAAATTTCCTGTACCACAAGAATGAGGTTGCAGCACATAAGCCATACCTATGAGAGAGAATAAAGCCACACATTCACACCTTTCCAAGGTGGACTGCACCTTTCTAGGGCAGCTACAATAACTGATTATTTCACATCACCTTGGAAATGTTAAATTTTTAACTTAGGTTAAAAATTCAGGCTTCTGTAGCTTAAAAGCTCATGCAGGCAGGACTTTACATCCCAAAGCACCCCAGGGAAGCTCAGCCAGACTGGTCCCTTACCAGGTGACGATGTACTGCATGTGCTCATTCCGCAGGCTCACTCTGGTCTGGCCACCAATGGGCCCCCCTGGGACGGTGCTTCCTGCAGGGACAACACAGCCAAGTTAAATCTTCAGCCTGCACAGTGCAGAGCTGCCTTGGCTGTGAGAGAGGGGATGAAGTTTATAGGTCTGGTGGATACCCTGCTCCTTTTCTGGGGCAGTGGTGTTCCCAAGTTCATAGAATCACAAAATGGTTTGGGTGGGAAGGGACCTTGAAGAACATCTCATTCCACTGCCATGGGCAGGGACACCTTCCACTGTCCCAGGTTGCTCCAAACCCCATCCAACCTGGCCTTGAACACTTCAGGGATGGGACAGCCACAGCTTCTCTGGGCAACCTGTGCCAGGGCTTCAACACCCTCACAGGGAAGAGTTTTTTTTCCTAATATCCAATCTAACCCTGTCCTCTGCCAGTTTGAACCTTCCCCCTTGTCCTACCACTCCATGCTCTTGACTGAAGTCCCTTTCCAGCTCCCTTTCAGTCCCCCTGTGACCTTCAAAACTGGGATAGCAGAGTACAGGAAGAGAAAGATGCAATACCTTGTTGGACTCGATACTAAAAGTCTTTACAAATGATTCTATGGCTCTACCTTTCCAGGTGCCCAGGGAAAGTAACAAACTGAACAGAAATGGAGGGAGACTGGTGGGGTTGGGGTTCCTGTGTGACTTACTGAAATCTGCATCGATGAAGATGGGCTCAGCACCGGTCACCTTGGCCATGGCCTCCAGGTCTCGGTAGTGCCAGCGGTTTTGTTCGATGTTATTCTCAGGCACAAAGGGTTTCCGGGTCTCTGTTAACCTCACCACCCCCGTGAGATCGATTTCCTCTTCAATCTAAAGGAGAAGTGCAGAGGGGAAAAAAAGGAATCTTTCAAGATTCATTTCATATTCTGGCACACCGAGTCTTGCTGTTGTGTCCTGGATGCGCTGTAACACAGCAGGGGAAAAAAGCAGAACAAAAACAGCTCCTTGTTTGTAAAACACATTATTTACTAATGAAAAGGTGGGAAACAAAGGTTTGTCTTTGAAAAGCGCAATGACTGTTTAAGTCACCTTCCATGATGCTGAACATGGGCAGAAAGTAACACCTCACATTCCCTGGATCCCCCTTACCTGTCCCTTCAGCCTGGTCTCCGGTTTCAGTTTCTTTCTGGGCACAAATCCTCGGTTGACTAAAATCGTGACCCTAGAGTTACACACAGAAGACAGTCTCAGGACTGAAAGGAAATTTATTCCTGCAGCTGCCTAGAACTAAAGCCCAATGAAAAACAACCCACGTTTGCTGCCATTTCTTTTTGTCATGTTAAAAGAAAATGTTAAAAGTGCACTTTAAAGGGGAATTTAAACACAATTTCAAATTGAGCCTCAGTGACCGCCCAGACTGTGAGAGAAACCTTTTAAGGGAGGGGGAGTGACTGATGTAAATCTAACCACAATTCAGCTTTTCCAAATGGACGTGAGGTGCTCAGGTGGACCACAACTCAGTCCTTAACTGACCCCAGCTCTGTGCAGTAGAAGGGGGTGACGACGTTGGCTCCGTTCTCCGGGTGGGATGTCAGCCGCCCGGCTTCCCGGGCTTCCCGCTCCGGGTCCACCAGCGACCGGGGCAGAATGTAGAGCTCCTTGGAGTGGTCGAAACGCCCTCGGACCTTCACAGGCCTGTACTCCAACTCCTTCAGTTCCATGGGGCTGCATGGAACAAGAGGAGAACAAAATCGTGGCTGTGACAGGCAGATTAAATTAGGGGATTTTACCATGGGATTCTTCTTTTCCCTAATGGTTTGCTCTAGAGTCAGCTGGCAAGCGGAAGACAAACACCTCATGGAATATGCAGCTGGCTCAATATTTTGTTACTATCACAGGGAGTGATGATCAGGAGTATCCTGAGAGAAGTTCTTTTCCATGATATCTGCAACCCAGATGTCACAGAGCTGATGAGCAGGTGGATTCACTACCTGTGCATCCAGCCACGGGAAGCGTTTCTTTCCCATCCCAGACCATGAAATCCAACAACTGAGACATTCTGACAGTTGTGCCAGGTGGCCAATGACCTTAAAAACCTCTCTCATATCTGACACAACTGCTCAACACATGGGGCAGGGCCTGCTGTTGATCCAAGACTACCTGTTGTAGGAATAATTCCTTTGGGATGTCAGATTCCAGCAACCACGCCCTCCTTCCCCAGGATTAGAAATGGTATGAACTACATCCCACATTCTCCTGAACAGAGATTCATCCTTTTCCCATGCATTTAGAATATCCCATAGGAAAGTATTCACTTATACTTTTACTAAAAATAAGAAAATTAACAGGATCTCTCTCTAATTTGCTGGTACATCCCAATTCCCATTGCAGTCCTTCATTTTCATGCAGGTTAGTTCAGCACAAGCTCATTAGTGCAGGGTCCATATCTAATATCCCCAGCACCCTGCAGACAATAAACCATCCCAGCTTCCATACTCTAATGTCAGAGGGATAGGGTCTGCTGTAATTCTTGATGCCAGTTGTGCAATCAAATCTAATTTCCACTTTCGTCGCTGAACCTGAAAGTACACAAACACAAAAGTAATTCTTTAGGGTAGAACAGAGCAATGCAATAACCTCAGCAAGCCTTGAAATCTTGGTTGTAATTTTTTCATCAGACCTGGCCTAAAACAGGGTAATTGGAGATATGAAAATGGAGGCCACTGACTTTGAGAAAATATACTGAAATAAAAGTGTAAAACCCAATAATCTCTCCTTTAAGGACTTACAAATGGACACTTGGAAAACAGAAATGTAAACCAACAGCAAATCTTTACCCTGCCTGTGATTTGGACTAAATTAAACAGCCAGAGACTGAAAAATCTGACAGCCCTCAAGTGCTCATTTCTTGAAATAATTAAATATTTATTTGTACCTGCCATGTGCCGAGACCAAAGGTGGTCAGAGGGACCAGGAGAAGGCCCCATTTCAGTAAGGCATCATCACCAGATGTGTCAGCAGCTGCTGCAGAACTCCGTGGTCTGCAGAACCTCAAGCAAACATCTGGAGAAAAACAGAATGAGGAACAGGATTTATAGAGAAGAGGTGCCAGATTCCTGCAGGAAATGTCACTTTGGTATTAGGCTGAAGCAGGGCAGAAGCCCAAACAAATCTTAGGCATCATTCTTACCTTTAGTCTGCTGAACCAGCCCAGAACCTGCTTTAGTTAGGGGATATCCAAAAAACATTCTTCTGATCAAGTAAGGTGATACCTACATGGAATAAGAAGGATCCTTTTAGCATCTCTGCTTTGTAAAACTTCTATTAGGTGGTATCAGTCACCTTCATGACTGCATGAAATTTTACTTCCTCATTGATTTTGAGCAACTGCCTGTGAAACACTACGGGCCAGGTTATAATTCAAACAAAATAAAGTTAGATTGCAGTTGCAGAGCTGACTATAGCACAGCAAATGAACTTCCATCCGTGCTATCAGCAAACACACACAGCAGCCTAATCTGTATTCTTGACACAAATGGGGACAGGATCAGGGGATAGGATGAGAGGACAAGATGAGGGTACAGGATGAGGGGACAGGATGAGGCTACAGAATCAGGGGATGCGATCAGAGGACAGGAGGAGGGGACTGGATGAGGGTACAGGATCAGATAATGGGGTCAGGGGACAGGAGGAGGGGACAGGATCAGGGTACAGGATCAGGGGACAAGACAGAATGAGGGTACAGGATCAGGGTACAGGATCAGGGGATGGGATCAGAGGACAGGAGGAGGGGACTGGATGAGGATACAGGATCAGGGGACAGGAGGAGGGGACAGGATCAGAGGACAGGATCAGGGGTTGGGATCAGGGGATGGGATCAGGGGACAGGAGGAGGGGTTTCCCCGGCCCGGCCCCGCTCCCCCGAGCCTCACCCGGCCCCGCCGCTCCCGCAGCAGCCTCAGCCCGGAGCTCAGCACCATCCCGGCCATGGCCCCACCGGCCCCGCTGCTCCCAGCCCGGCCCAACCCGTCGGGGTACCCGCGGTCTCCCCCCGCCCCGCCGTGCCCGCGGCCCCGGAACGGGAAGCTCTCCCGGCCCGGCCCCTCGCGATGGCGGCGCCGGGCCCGGCGGGCGGCGTGGCCGGGCCGGAGGTGCCCGAGGCCGAGCGGCGATTCCTGAGGCAGCACCCGCTGCTCAGCCCCGCGGGGCCCGGCAAGGTGCGGCCGAGCGGAGCCCTGAGGGGATGGGGCCGCCTCCCCGGGAGGGTCGTGAGGGTGGTACCCGGTGGGCTCGGCCCCGGCGAGCTCCCGGTCCTGGGGGTGTCTCTGCAGCTGTGGGAGGCCGGGAAGGAGGGCGGTGGTCCTGCCCTTCCCAGCACCGGGATGGATACAGAAAGGGTGGTTAGACACTGGAAGGGGCTGCCCGGGGAGGTGGTGGAGTCACCCTGGAGGTGTTCAAGGAAAGACTGGAGGTGGCACTTGGGACCATGGTCTTGGTTGACACGGTGGTGTTGGGTCACAGGTTGGACTTGATCTCAGAGGTCTTTTCCAACCTGACCGATTCTGTGGGGTAATCCCCTGGGCTTGCTGCCCATTCGTGTTTTTTTCCAGGTGAGATGCAGGCTGACAGGACACGAGATGCCGTGTCGGCTGTCAGAGCTGCAGGCTTATACCAGCGGCAAGAAGTATCAGCGGCTCATAAAGACAACCAAAGAGTTCGACTACGGCACGTTTGAGCCCCACATAGTGCCCAGCACAAAGAATTTGTACGTATTCGTCCTCCTCTGTGTTAAGTTATGCTTTACGCTTTGTTCGATCTCAGACGTAAAGTGGTTGAGCTTTACAAAGTTTTTATGGGGTTTGGGAGACTGGGGAAGGCTTTATGAAGGATTTATCAACTTTGAGTACGGTGCTTGTAAGTGAAAAGTTATGAAGTAACAGCATACTTAAACTCTTGCTGCCTCTTTCTTTTTGGGTCTGTAGACACCAGCTGTTCTGCAAGCTCACCCTCAGACACATCAACAAGTTCCCAGAGCATGTGCTGCGTCATGTCCAAGGGAAGCGCTACCAGAAGGCTCTAAAAACGTGTAAGTAGCTTTTCTGGAGCTGTTACAGACAATTATTTTTTTTCATTGAGCTGTTGAGATTCCAGTGGATCTATGCAAAGGGAGTGGGATAGTTTTCTTTAGACTGGCATCAGTGTCTTGCTGTGTGTGCTCCTCAGCTGGGAAGGAAAATCCCAGATCTAGGGAGCAATTGGCCTCTAGTAAATACCTTGGGACATCCCTCCTTGAGAGGATCAGTTCTAAAACTCGCCCAAGGAGTTCATGTATCCAGCACAATCTGTTTTAACATCTTCTCTGGTCCATAGTGCTGCTGTAGATTATATAGGTTGTATATTAGGGGTGGAGCATCCTGAACTTTGGAGGTGCATTTCCTATAAGCTTGAGCTGGACATGAAAGGACTTGGGGACTGGGCTGCCTGGCTCAGTGCTGCCTGACTCTCTCTCTGGTAGATGAGGAATGCCAGAGGGCAGGAGTGGAGTATGTTCCTGCCTGCCTGAGACAGAAGAAGCAGCGGGCACAGCATCCTGATGACCAAATGAATGGGAGCAGAAAACCTCACAGGAAGGAGGAATTCTGGGAGCCAAAGTCCAGTGACGAGGATGGAGAGGAGACAGACGACAGCATGAGTGACCTGTACCCACGTGAGTGAGAACACTGGTGTCGTCTGTGTCCTGAAGAAGTTTGTTGGCTGATTTTCTCCTGATTTCTTTATACTGTTCCCTGCTGCTCTTCCATCCAGTTCGGGGTTTTTGTGTCTTGGAAAAGCTTCCCACCACCAAATAAGAAATAGCATTATCACTAAGTGATAAGCAGTTGGATCATGTAAGCTGTGAGGGGAGGGATGCAAGATCCACTGGGATTTGCTGCTCGTTTCTCAGCAAGTCCTTGAGTCTGACAGAAGTTGGTCAGCCTGTTTTACTGACTTACATCTGGAGGTGCAGATCCATCTTGGTGCAGGAGCAGAGGTGTAACTCCACCTGTGCTGGAGTTCCCAGAACGGGATTAGTGAGAGCACCAGGCACATTTCCAATAAAACATCATTGGCAAATCACCTTTAAGCTGCTCTCAAAGTAAAGTTAGTGTGCACAGGTAACTGATTCTGAGCTAAATCTTTGTGTTTTAGCTGCACTCTTCCCAGAAAAAAGCCCATCAGCTGCACAGACCACAAAGGGCAGCGATGACTTTGCGACAGACAGTGAGGATGACGGGGCCAAGAACGGAGAGGATGGTGGAAGGACAGATGTCAGCAGAGCCGTGGGCAACAAGAGAGGAAAGGTGGGAGTCACCCCGCTGCCTGCAGCAGCAGGGGAACATGGAGCTGGGATCCCATCCCGTAGGTGTTCCATCTATTCCTGTCTGAGAACCAGCAGAAGGTGCAAAGCTGTTCAGAATAGACTCTCCCTGTGTGCCAGACACTGACTTGCATCCCGAGGTGTGAATTGCTGCCAGGCAATGTTTATCCTCTCTGTGGTAGAGAGCGATGTTCCTGCCTGTGTAAACAGCTCATCTTTGGTGGGATCCTGCTGCACACGGTCTCAGCAGGGAGGCTGATGTGTGTCTTGTGGGTTAACTGTCCTCCAAATACACAAACATATGTGAAACCCTTTTGCAGTCACAGGATCCTTCTAGATCTCTTTTGAGGCGCTGCCTTACAGGACATCCCCTGATCCCACTCAGTTTGGGAAGCAAGCATATGTTAAGACATATAAAGATGGATTTGGGGGTTGGAAATAAGCTGACTGAACTTTTCTTCTCTACAGAAACAGTCGGGCCCTTTAAAGAAGAAATTCAAGAGCCATCATCGAAAACCCAAGAACTTCAAGAAGGCAACCAACGGGAAATAAATTTTATGACAAATACCTGGCCTGAAGCCTCTTGTGTAACAATTCCAGTAGGAGCACAAGTGCTTGCCCATTCCAGTTAACTGTTACAGGTGCAGAGGGGAGGAGTGGGGTGGAATTAAGTTGTATTCAAAGAGCTTCAAGCCACCCGCACACCAAGGGAAGGATTTCTGCTGCAGTCAGGTGCAGACAGCTCAGCACTCAGAGCTCTTTACAGAAAGCTGGTTTTTGGTAGGCAGGAAAGCACAGCAGCCTCCTGACCAGCTCCTCCAGGGAGCCCATCCATGGAGCATCACCAGCCACACGCCAAGTGGATACAAAGATGCCATCGTTTTATTTTGATTGTTTTCGAAAATCAAAACATTTTCAAACACAACTAAGGTACAAAATACAGCATAAAATGAGAATTTATACTTATTTCTTTTTTTTTTTCCACATAGAAAGCAAAAATATATTCAGAATGAATTCCAGAACACTTTGCAGAGCCAATTGGTAGCTGACATCCTGCTTTGTCAGAGCTTCTCAGCCATGGGGAGAGGTCACTGTATTTCTGGGAGATGCACAAGTACAGCAGCTTATGTAGGAAACCAGAATCTTCTGCATCGGGGCTCACAGTTAGTAACTCTGAACATTGTGCTGCCTAGCAGTATCTGATAATGCCCTCCACCTAACTGTGCCCTTTGAGTATTTAAGTATTCCTGCTGCAAGGGACAGTATCAGTTCCTTATCTGGGGTCTTTTGTTGGAAAGGGGACTTGGTTTTCACAGAGGAAACTGGTCAGTATTTCAGACTAGTCTGTCATCCAGCTCCTCAGTTAGACAGGACACAAGGAAGTTGAGAAAGCCAACTTAAGGGGCTACTTACAGGAGTAGTTTCTGTCATTCCATGTATAAATACTATGAACATCAACAGCAGTTCAGGTATCTGAGAATGGCTGCCTTGATGGAGTCCAAAACCATTACAAGACCTGCAGTGACACCGAGTAAAAGCCTCCTGTGCTGCAGATCTGCACTGGAAGGACTGGTTTGTTTAGCTATGAAGAGTCAGGCACAGGGAACAGTTGAGGTGAAAACCTCTCTTGCAAAGAAAGCTGCCTGTGACCTGACCTTAATGCTGAATTCCCTTCCCATCAATTTGGACATCAGGGGTTGGACTAGATGATCTGAGGTCCCTTCCAACCCTAACTGTTCTGTGACAGCAATTGGCTTCCTCCAGCAGCAGCAGCACATCTTGCCCTTACATTGGCTATTTTCCCCTTAAGATGATGAAATCCCTGGTTTAACATTCAACAGTGCTCTTCTATTTTTCATCAGTTCTCTCAGCCTAGTTTTCTCTCCTAAAAAGCAACCGTAAAGCTGAACCGTCCAGCTGAGAGTCCCTACCAGGAGACTCCAGGAAACACCTCCCACTGGAGATGTTCAGCTGAATTCCTCCTTGAAAAACAAACAGTTGAGCATCTTCCTCAAGGGAGACAACAGTGCAAGGTAATCAGTGTAATGGTAGGAAGTTGGTGGGGCTCATGCTGTCTAGAATTCTTCCCCAGTCTAGTGAACGGGCTCACCTAGCTGACTAGCAGAGGACAAAATGCCTCCTTGGAGCAGCACTAAGCATGTTCATGGCACAGAGGTTGTGGCACTGAGAGGCCAAACAGGGCCTTCATCTCTGAGGAGTTCCTCCCTCTGAAGGTCCATCCCTGGCTGCTTATCCACTGCCCAGGCTTTGCACTTGGATTCCTCGGCTGTAACCGTTTGCAGACAGAGTTGGGAACGGGGGCTATGGCAGCACAAGGGCTACTTCCACATTTCCTCCCTGCACAGCCCAGGGGGGGCTGAGATGGCAGAGAGAAGGAGCTGTCAAGAGCTCAGCACCCTGGCTCTTCACACAGCTGGGACTTTACAGCCAAAAGGCTTGACAGAAGTGAATCTAAGAAGCAAACACTATAGATTAGAAGACTGACTGCTCTCATCTGGCATGTACCGAGTGCAGGGAAGAGGGGAGTTTCTGTAATTCTGAAGACATTTTCACCAATAACCTGCAATTCAGATATGAATTTGGGACATACATGGATGGGAGCTGGTTAATAGCAGAAAGGAGCCTTCATTATGCAACCTGCAGCACAAGTTGGCTCCCTGCTTGGGAATTCAGGAG